CCTGCGAGTCGAACTAGGTGTGGTCACCATGCTCACTAGACGGTGCTCTTACCACTTAGCTGCGGGAGACGGTAAAGAGGATCGTAATTCGCCGCACCGCCACGCGCGGCGATGGGCGCGGCGTTTTCATAACTCGTTTTAACCTGTCGAATGGAGCACCGGACTTCATGTAGACCCCGTCATCGTAGACACTCATTACTGTTTTCGGTCCTTAATTGCATGTTGTCGCCATCTACTGCCTGAAACCATCGTCCTTTGCGGGCGGGACGTCGCACGCGACGCCCAGCAGCGCGGCAAATTACGATCCTCTTGTCACATACCCCGCTGACGCAAAGTATGACCGCAGCCCTTTCCCGCGGATCGCCTAGGACGGATTTCCGCCCATACAGCCATGCTTTTCTATTCGTCAACTGCTATCGAAGCCGCCAGAGAGGGCAAAATTTCTGACCTATGATCGAGTCATCGCCAAGACATTGTACAGAGTGGGCAGCGTCGAACAAGCCTACAAAATTTTACTTGGGCCGAATAGGAGGAGCATCTCAAAGAGAGGATCGGGCAACTATAACTGTTTTGTCCATAGTATAAATGCGGTCATGATTACTTCGAAAACAGGCTGCATGAGAGTAAGTCGATTGGAGCGCATCTAACGCGACATTTTCCACACAGTGCACGTCGTGGGGATTCCCACCGAGAGGTCCAACTTGAAGGGGGGGGGGTCTCGCACTTGCTTTTGAGAAAACAATTTCCGTTGCCCCTTTCCCACTCGGCGGCAAACCCTCCTCTTCCTATATTCCTTCCTATTCATTTTCTTTACGGTCCTATTCTTTCTCACGCAGAGCCGCTTTCCTAAGTAGGAACATGTGAACAGCTATATGAGAATGATGGTGTATGTGACAAGAGAATCGTAATTCGCCGTTCTGGTGGGCGTCGCGTGCGACGTCGCGCCCGCAAATGACGATGGTTCCAGGTAGTAGATGGCGACAACAGGCAATTCAGAACCGAAAATAGTCATGAATGTCTACGATGACGGGGTCTACATGAAGTCCGGTGCTCCAATCGACAGGTTAACACGAGTTAAGAAAACGCCGCGCGCGGCGGAGCGGCAAATTACGATTCTCTTGTCCGTCTCCCCATGAATGAATGAATCAGTCAATCAATCATTGTAGGTATGTATATATGTAACATCCTAATCATGCTATCGTAATCACGTCAAATGTGGCCTATCAAGCAATGGGGTGGGTAGCTCATTTGCAGTTACCCATCTACCATATGAAGGTCGAATTAGTCGTATTCATATTACTACTTGCATATTCAGTGGCTTCTGAAAGCTATCCCAGAAGCTACTTCAAGAGAGGGCATCCGTGGAAGGATGACGTTGTGAGACGACATGCAAGATCAGCTAGCAAGGATTTGAACCTGAAAACGGAAAGCGATTCGGATCATGGGAATGACCAACTTTCTCCAACGCGACAAAGACGTAGCGCTACAGAAAAGAAGCAGAGAAACGTGAAATTCACGATAATGTATTTGTGAGTGAGCAATTTATGAAATAGTTATGCGGCTGACCAGCAAGGGAGGCAGTTCATGTGGCGGATGTAGGAAGGACTTGCACCTACTGGTGCTGGAGTGTCTTGTTTAGCAACCTTCCACCAACGGTGCTGGAACTGTTGCCTCACAGCTGAGCCAACCAACAGTACGTTTCAATCAAGCTTCGGAATCCATGTCCCTAGCAGCTTGCGTTGAGCAATGGATGCACAATATGCGCTGGAGCGGGCGGTTAAATTTAACGTCAGTGGTGGAAGGCTGTAAAAAATGCCTTCAGACACACCCCTACTTCAGTCCTTCAACCAGTAAACGCTGGCAGTACTACTCACTTCCCCCTCCAGCCCTGCGCTGCTGCTTTTTTAAGCGCGAAATTTGGCGCACGGTTCCCACTACAGTGATGTGTACACCTTCAAAGCAAGGGATCAACCTTTAAAGGAAACAACTTGCCGAACGGGAATGTAGTATAACTGGATCGCTGTTCACGGACAGATGTGAACTAAAAATGTTTAATTAAACTTCGTTAGCGCGAATTACAAGCGGTCAATTGGTACCGATTGCATGATAACGTATCAGAAGGGTACCGCCTGGAAGATGAATAGAAATCAACCGGCCGGCCGCCAGATATGACTGTCCCTGCAGACACAGTTCGCCGTTTCGAATCTCACGCTCACGGGTTTCAAGAACGACCGATTCTTCACATTTACTTGCTTTCCTCCTCCCCTTCCTTTCCTCCACCCCCCCCTCTGGCGCACATTCGAAGATTGACTATCGTTCAGAGGAACGCAGATTCATTTAGTGTGTAGCCCGTGTTTAAAAGCTCTGCGAAAAGCTCGGTTCTCAGCACCGAATCACGCGCGACAAGCGCACCGATTCGCGTCGATATATAGGACCAGTGGCGTAATCACACCTCGCAAGTCATTGAAATATTTCTAACGATTCAATAAGCTAAATACTTCGCGACAAACACTCTTCAGCTCAGTGGTATACAATAGTTTTACTGCGGACGTTGTCGCGTGTCCCGTTCTCCACTACTGTTGAAGCAAGTGCAATGAAAATACTGCATCATATCCATCGTATTACTCGTTTTCTACCACTTTTTGTCGCACGCTCGTTTCAACAAGAAGGCAGAGAACGGCTTTGACAGGGTTCACAATTCATAAATGGCTGATACGCCTCAACCGTCCGCACCACCAGCAGTGTAATGCTACGTTCTTCAAGGTTATCTACTTGAAATTATCGAAAACTGGTACATTTCATGAAAGGTCAACTGTGCCTTTTCTCTGAAAGGATTTCTGCGGTATTTTAATGCTCAATTCGATATCTAGAGAATTACAGATTTACTTTGATGGCAAACAACCGAAAGAAAGATACAGAAAAATGGCTGGGCGGCGTGCTGCCAGCGTTCAATGGAGAGCAGGTTAGTGTTGATTTTCAGCGTTTTCAGTATCTCCACAACCATGCGAAACTCTGGGCGAAATCCTGAGAAGTTCTGTACTCGAGCAGGCGAGCAGAAAGGTGAAAACAGGGAGGGCCTGGGTCAATCGAAATGTCCTGCGGAAGTGAACGCTGGGTATTTGTGAACGGATTTCATACACTGCAGTCTTTGAGGCTAACTAGAGCCGGCTAGGATTGTTTTCACTGTTGTACTGCTTGTGAAGCTACTTCCCAGTTGTGGCATCGCGCACACTGGCTGAAATTTCCTATCTAATTGGCTGGAGATGGGAGATGGGCAAAAAGAGAGCTGTCAACTTGAGAGACGCAGAGACTTTTCCAGAAGCACAGGTAGGAGGCATAAATCTTCGGACCACTGGTCAATCCCTTCAACGGCTGAGGTACGTATTCTACTTCCATTCGGAATAAAAGTAGCATTTTGAATGCCAAATGGCCTGTACAGCTAGTTCCGGGGTCAGCCGATGTAGGCAATAGTGTTTTTATCCTCCCACACAAGTCTGGTATTACTCTACCTGCCGGAGGGATCGAAAATTGAATAGGGCTGGGCAGGAGCTGAGAAGGGATGTGCCCCTTGAATACTAACGTGGAAAACGGCCTTGATTGCCACAACACTGCCTTTGCCCCGCTAACCCGCGCAGGGATGTTGTGATTTACATTAGGCTTCCATACAGTACTTCCTCTCGCTGGCCACTTAACCTGCCCAGATTATGTACAATCTCATAGCGGTTATCTGCAGCGCAGTTTTCCGTAGCACCCAAAAGACACAATAGCGATGGTGTGGCCGGAATGCTCACAACAAGAAATATGCGAGCTAGAACTGCATCCAAATGATTCTAAACGGAAGCTGAATGTGCGACGGTCCACTGAACCTGCAAAAAAGCCTTTGCTCTGCACGGCTTCGGTCGAGTGTATCAGAAACAGAAGGCAACTCGGGAGGAGTTTTTTTGGAATCCTGCCAGTTGATATGGCTGCGTGTGCATGTTTATATACCCATGCAGGCCCCTCCCCATATCGATAGCAGTTTGCTAGTGAGGGAATGGAAGTATCAGCTCATTGAGACCATATGTGGGCGAGTGGCTGCGGGGCGTCTGGGGCCGGTATATTGCGGCCACCTTGGTTAGACGCTATAACAGCGTAAACTGCTGGAGGAGGCGCTGCGCAGTAATTCCCCAAGAAGTGTAGGAT